GAATGCTCGAGTGTTTACTGGATGTGCGGTATTCTTGTATATAAGACCGCCAAGAAGTGGGGGCAACATTAGAATGGAATTGCAGACAGAGATAGAGACGGACAATTGAGTCAAATGCGTGAATCATTCGTTGTAAATTATAGCGTTTGTTTAAGTTAACTGACTGTGGGAATTAAGTGTGTTGCAAAGTTGTATTGAGAAAGAATAAACTAGTTTTATTTAAGGAAGGACTTGTATTGCTGAAGTTTTTCGGAAAGAATTTCTATGGAAAATTAACAAACGAACAGAGACGTAACAATATAAATATAAGCAACTGAGCAAGTGCAAGTCAAGTAAAGTTAGAAAAGATGAAGTCAGTCAGTGTGTGATTGATTAGGTGTAATGGGCGATATTTTAAAGTTATTTTCACAGAAATAAGGAGAATAATTTGTCTGGTCAAAGGGTGTTCTAAAGTAATTGAACCCGCCTGTGTGGACTTTGATAAAAAGGAAACAATTATTTAAAGTTTAGGATATAACTGTGGTAACCCACGGGGTAGCATAAGTGAATTATTCACTGATAATATTATAAGAATAGAGAAAAATTGTTTGTATTGTCAATTGGATTTTAAAGTAATTGATTCATCCTGTGAGGACTAGTGACAGGAAGAGAGAATTATTTAGAGTTTTAGATATAACTGTGATATCCTATAGTGTAAAGAAATGTTTACATACATTTAACTTGTTTTGTATATATTATTTTAAAATAAGTGGATTGTGTACTGTCCGTTTATTGTTCGAAATTATCACCAACAAGTCACAGACACCTACTGTAAAAGAATCCCCAGCCATTATATAAAATATAACCCTGACACAGCCAAAAGTTGAACTTCTCAACAATGAAATGTATGATAACAGATATATTCAGTCCTTTTCAGCCTCCTATAACCATGACTAATGACACAAACCATTTGCAACAAGGAAGAAAATATGAATTATCACCCAGTTTACACCAAACGAAACATCCTTATGGATACTGATTTTTTCATCTTATGGAACTAACTCCTCGCCATGGTCTGTTGTGAGCTCAAACGTGATCTATATAAGATGAATAATGCTTGGAGACAACTTGAATGGGAAATGAAGAAAAACTTTGATATAAGTTTAGCATAACAGCAAATGTACAACGTTTCGACAAGGTTCTGTCATCATCAGGTAAAAGTAGTTTACACTGATACAGATATATATCTATTGAAGCTGTCTCTAAGCATTATAAGTCTCAAAGTGGGTTCCTCGTCATCAAATTTCTGTATAAGGCGAGTTCCATTTCATTTATTTCTCATTAGAATTTGAGATGGATAACCGTCTTTCACACCCTTTTACGTGTTTAGTGTCAGGTCCGACAGGAAGTGGTAAATCAGAGTTTGTAAACTAAGTTTAACTTATCATCGTGAAGTTATTTATCATATTCCTGAAAACATCGTATGGTTTTATGGTGAAATTCAACCACTGTATACAAAATGAATTCAAAATATTTCCAACATTCAAATTGTTGAAGACATACATGA